GGGACTCGAACCCAGCCGATAGAGATGCAGTCTTTAATCTCGGCAGGCTACCACCACTTCACACTGCCACGAGTGCACTGGAGCCCCAAGTGAGACGCGAACTTCCGTGTAGACCAGGTCTCTCACATATCACACTTTTATCATGGGAGAGTCGATTGAATTTGTCATCACCACTGATTACACTACTTATATTCTGAGATAGTAGCCATTTGGAATATCTTTAATTCTTGAATAAGGTGTGGAAAAGGTGATAGCTGAGTTTTCACACATTCATATGTCTAGGCCTCATGTCTCCATCGCTTCAAATGATTGTGGGTAATTTCAACCATCCGTGCCTTATCACCTGAATTGAAATAAGATGAAATGAATTGTAAATTGTTTAACTTTTTTCATATACAGTGAGTTATGCTGCGAGAAGAATTGTCTGTTGGGTTGCATGAGGAAGTGATAGGCAATAAAAAATTTTGCATTCCTTTCATTTCATTTTGGACAATCTCGTTGTTATCCAAAAATGCTACATCTCGTGGTTTTGATGTAAAGATTGATTTTCGGCAAGCCCTTCGCTCATATCGAAAATCACTACTACAGGTTAATGATCTGTTGTGTTTTATTCTATACTCTGATACGCCTAGTCAACTTTAGTATTGCAAGTTTCACGTGCTTTCTAGTCGGCTTCGTAGACGACTGCTGTGCGAAAGTTGTTTGAATTTGGTTTTGCATCTTGGTCGAATTAGCAGGAAGACCTAGAGGAACCCATCTTGTCCTGAGTCCATAATATGCATGATCGTTTCCAGAATCGAACCGTGCACTTGGTACATTCCCAGACACTTCGCCGGCATAGTATTCAGCATCATCAGTGAATTTTGCTAGCCTTAGCAACCAAGCTACAACTCATCAAACAGACAATATGGCCAATTTGCGAAAACAAGGTTAAACAACCATACAAAAAGTCACACCATCCTGGTCTTCATATCTTCGATAAGAGCTGTGGTTTGTTTGTTGTCTAATCGATGTTCCGTTGCCGAGAGGGGACATGGCGACGATGTCAGGGAAAAGAGTAACTGGGTTTCAATGAACCTCTTCTTAACTTGGCGAGACTTTTATGAGAATAAGTTCCAGCTCCGATGATGTTCATGATATGATGAACGAAAACTCAGCCTGTTTTTATCCGAAACGAGGAAGAATGTCTCGTGGACTGTTTCATCTCGAACGTACATATCAAAACCAAAAACAACCACACAACAGCGAGAATCGGCCGTCTTCTTCTGGTGAGAACGACCTTCGAATCTCTTCATCATATACTTGCATTCTAATTGAAAG